GTGTTCTGTGGAAAGCCTTCAGCTTCATCAATCCCTAGTTACTGAAAATACTTCTGTATTGGAGAAAAATAAACAGATGGATAGAGTGTCTCAAAAGTCTCCTTCAAGGGAGGACTTGGAAAACCATTTGTCTCCAAAGCCTTTTGCTGGAGGGCAGGAACATGCACAGAATGCTGAGAGAGACTGTGAGCCATCCATTAAGGGGGAGAACTGCAGTGCAAACACCTGTGAGTCCTTCCTAAGCCATTTGCAAACAGTTAGTGATGACTTGGAAGCAAGAACTGTGCTGAGGGAAGAATGCATGGGAGTGAAGGCTCCGAGTCTCAGGAGACGCTCCAGATCTGCCCTGAACCCCTCCCCTCCTGTGCAGAAATCTCCTCCTGCCTATTCCTTACGCTGCACTGCCGACAGGAGGCAGCGGGAGGCTGCAGCACGCATGGGGGAGCCCCAGCTGGCAGCCAAGTTCTCCACTCCTGAAAGTCGTGGCAAACTTCCTTCTGCCAGCCCACCGACCTACGAGGTGGAGATTGAAATGCAAGCTTCAGGCCTGCCCAAGCTTCGCATCAAGAAAATTGGCTCTTGCTCATCCTTGGAAGTTCAGCCTGAAGCAAGTGCCGGCAAAGCCAGGGGAGGAGAAAGCCCCTTCAGTGATTTTGCTATGACCTGGTGCAGCAAGCACCCAGGAAAACTAGCAGCTGCCTGTGTCTCCCCATCCTGCTGCCGTTCCTTCCATAGCACACCTGGGAAAGGTGCAGGACAAACCTACATATGCCAGTCATACACCCCCACAAGCTGTGCCTCTACTGTCACCTCCCCGTTCCCATTGGAAGCAGTTGTCCAGACACCTTCTCCAATGCAGAAGGGGAAGAGTACTCCTGATGCCATCAATGACTGGCCTCGGAGGAAGAGAGCAGCAGGCAGCACTGCTGGTGTGAGCTGCAGTCAGGGTGAGAGGAGTGCTGATGATCGGACATGGGCCTCAGCAGGCAGAGAGAGAACCATGAGGATCTCCGAAAACTGCAGCAGCAAAGTGACAAATCCTCTTGGGGAATTTGAAGTGGAAGGGATTTGCAGGCTCCAGGATCAGGCATCTCCTAGTGACTCTGAACTGAAGGCTGATGAGGACTCTGCCATGGGAACTTTTGGCTTGAAATCTCGGAAGCGAGTCTTTACTTACCTATCACCAGAAAAGGAGGAGAACCACAGTGCCAAGAGATCATGTCCTGATAGGGGCAGCTTGGATCTCACTGGCTTTTCCACAGATGAGAGCAACAGAACTAAATCAAGGACAGACTCTTTACTTCCTGAGAAACCAGGAGCATGTGCCCTCAAAACACTGGAGCAGCACAGTTGTCTAGGGGATGATGATGTCTTCCTTTTGTCAGGTAATTAAATGGCATGAAAGACACTCCACTGAAATTCAGATGTGGTTAAAAATGGGGTTTAGACTAAAACAAGAGCACAGTTGTTTCCCATGTAATTATCTGAGGGAGAGTGAGGTGAAAGGGGAGTGACTTTTAGATGACATGGAAGATAATTATGTGGAGAGGCAGACTGGATATGAGAAGTATTAACGATGGAAGAGAGGTCAGAGAAATATGAAAGAGCAGAAAGCTGGAGGAACTATAGCAAGTTTGGGAACTTGAGGAGAGAGGATCCCAGTTGCATCCAGCTGGTGATTTGTTCATGTTTTTGTGTTGATGCCACTGCCTCTTTCTGCCCAGCATTCAGCTAACAAGCCAACGATCTTAAGTATAAAGCTTGGCTGTTTCAGTGCTTCAGACTGGAGTCTTGGTGGGGTTAGTCCTGTGGATGTTGGTGTTTATTGCTGCTCCAGTTGTCTGTGCCTGTGGAGGTGGACACTGAAAGTGCTGCCAGAAATTATTCCCGTGCTAGCAATAATGTATCAGAAGCTGAATGGGTTTAAGCTGTCTCTCTGCTTTTGCTGTAGGTACAGATGATACTAACCTTGGTGAAACAGGCTGTTCAGCTCTGTAAACAAGGCCTTGTGAATTTCAAATACTTAATCCAGTATTGTTGTAGAAATTACAGAGGGCTGTGGCAGGTGTTGTTCTGTAGTCATTGCACAAAGCTTTGGTGTGTGTTTTCTCTTGCAAGGAAAGATTTGTATAGAGAGGCAGTGTCTTACTCAACATTATCACAGAAAAAAGGTCAAACCTTGAAGCAACAGTAATCCATATTCAGGACATGAAATAATAGACTTAAGATGGTCCTGTGAGAGACTTTCTGTACCTACAGACCTTGTGTTCGTATTTCTGTATCATTGTGGCTGTAGTTTTCTTCCAGGAAATGTGAATTACCTCTGTTTAATACAAGTGAAGTGATTTTCTGCTAAACCAGCTAAGAAAATTAAATGTGCTGATTCCAGACTGCCATTTACCTTTCTCAAATGCTAAAACAGCACTGTGACAGCCTAGAGTTTATTTCAGATAAACCCAAAGTATCACTTATACTGATGTCAGTTTTGAGGTAGCATAAAGGCTGTGTGTGAGACTTAACATTTGAGTTGTTGAGTATTTTTGCTGCAGCATCTCACTGTGCTTCTCCAGGCTCAACCCCACCCTTGAAGAGTGGACTTTGTGCCAGCAGCCTTCGAGCCCTGACCCAGTCTCCACTGCTGTCCCCACCGCCGGCTCAGAGGAAGCGCGTTCAAGGTAAGCACAGGAGAGGAAAGGCTGGGCTCCAGCACACTGCCTGTGCTCTCTGCTTCCAGCTAAGAACAAAATCATGCTGTGCTAAGGGTTGGGCTTTGGGCAGAAAACCTCTATCTGCCACTGCTGTGTTCAGTATCTTGATCTCACATGCTTACAAGAAACTTGGCATGAACTGGGAAGTTTGGAAGGAGAGAAAAGTTGCTGAAGAATGAAGAGAGTAGCTACAGGGGAAGTGCAACTTCCACCAGGTATTGGCTTCTTGGAATCACCAGTGAATTCTGGTAAACTGTGGCTTTCATGTATTCTTTCTGGTTTTTTGCAGAGGAGGATTCTGATGCTGTCCAAATTACTGCCAACCAGGAGCTGTCTCCATTCCACATCATGATTTCCAGGAGGCGACGCCTTAGCAGGACATACTCACGGAAAAAGTTGCTCAGCTGAAGTTTGGAACCAGGCCAGCATGGGAAACTGTATTATCCCAGCTGTACAACACACCTTTTAACAAAGACTGGTATTTGGTGCTAGACTGGAGCTGCCTTGTGTTGGTAGGACACTGGAAGTAAGCACATGGCAATAGAAATAAGGACCACTCTAAAAATTTATGGTTTCTTCCATCCATTCAAAGCCTAGCTTGGTCTTTCTGCTAGTGGAACCTTAGAGTGAGTTCTGCAGTGAAGGGCCAATTCTCCCAGCTTAAGAGGGCAGAATTGTCACTTTTCTCCAGCTCTTGTAGAATAAACTGATGAATTTTCATTGTGTCCTTTAATCCAAAATCTGTGTTTGGCTTGAGGGATGTGGGCTGCAGGAAGGAGGATGCTGGAGGCGAACGGGTACAGAACAAGCTGCGTGCTCCTGCTGTGTCTTGTCCTGATACTAAATGGATCCCTCTGTTAATTGCTTCCAGTTTGCCACAGCTTAGTGGGAAAATAACAAGCAGATTAATTAATTAGCCAAGTGCCAAGAATACAGAAAAGGGGAAAGATAATTTAACTGGGAACATCTTTGTAGATCATGAATGGTTTGGTGTATCCGCTCCTGGCTACTGCTGGATAAGCAGATGCTGATGGAGTGACTTCATTGTCCTTTTCTGCAAACTTGCAGTAAGCCAGAAAGAATTGGCTGGGGAAATGTCCTTGAGAAGTAAAACTTGGATGGAATAACTGGAAATGACAGTTTCAAGACTACTCTTTACCAAACTGAGTCATGGATTAAAAAGTGATTTAGTTGCCTGTGACACATTTGTGTTCTAACACCATGAAGAGAGCAGGAACTGTGGTTCAGTGCCTGAGATGTAGCCTACAAGGGGCTAAAATTGTGCATAATACTGGTAGGGCTGAATTTTTTCCCTTGGGGTAGTGATCTTGGGGAACTCACACCACTGTGTCTACTGATTGCACAGGAGGTGGAGAACTATGGAGATGGTGTAAGGTCACACTAAAACAAGGCATGGGAAACCAGGGTTGTCAGGTGGCTTTAAGGCTTTGAGGGACTAGATGGGATAGAGTGGAGCTTGTTTCCTGGACACACTCTTTGTTGTAGGAAAGCTGCACCTCCTTCAGGGATGTGGAGTGACACAAGCTTGGAGCTCCAAATCTGCTACTTACTTCCAAGGAGGATGGATTGCTATTTTTCCTATTGAAGGTCTGTTTTCAACAGCAGGAAATAAAAGTGTCTGAACTTAATCTTGTGTAGCTCAGCCCCATACAGAGCCCTCAATAATATCCTCCCCTCACTGTCACACCATCACAGGCAAGGTCAAGGATGTAGATCAGAAGATGGTTCTTATATCAAATGCTGGCTTTTAACTTGCTGTGTTACTCCTTAAGTCATGGTTGTGGTAGCTGTTCTCATTTCAAGCTGAAGCAGTGGCTTGGTTTTTAGGATCAAGTGGTCAAGCAGCCCTTTGTCCCTGCCCCTTGCCCTTCTTAAAGTAGATATCTGAGCTTTAATTTCTTACTCTGCTAGAGTTAAACTTAGTTCCCCTTCCTGAGCTGTCAGTGTTAAGCTGCAGGATTGCATTTAGTCTTTCTTAAATCCAGACTGGAAGTTCTCTCAAGAATATGAAAACCCTGCTTAAAGCAGCTTAGAGGCTGCAAGAGAAAAGCAGAACCAGAGTTCCTTTATCATGGACATTGCTGGCTGGAGATGTTCCTCCTGTGGCAATTTAATGCGGGAGGCCTTTTAGATATGGCTGGGACTACTTAAAACAGTTATTTAAACATTAGGCCAACAGTGTGACAGCAGCTGACTCCCCATGCAGTGAGATTTAAATACAACTCCTTTCCTACCATACCTGGAGTAAGTGGCCCTTCTGACAAGTCACCATTTCATAAAACTCACTCTGCTTTATTAGAAAAGTTATAGTAAAAATGTAAAAAAAACAAAGTTACTACAAAAACCTATGTACAAATTCTGCAGGGCTGCAGAGCATCTCGCTCTGAGGCTGCCAGGCTGAGCAAGCTCTTCAGCTGAGAATTCCACATTGTAAACAAGTTTGTAGTGTTAAGAGGCCTGGAAGCAAAGTGTCTTCTGCTTCACAGTGTTCAAGCTGCTGAGGGAGCAGAGGAAAAGCTTCCTGTCAGTGAGTGCAGCCTTGACTGGCAGCAACACGGGGAATGCAGGCTGGTGCTCCCACACCTTACACACTCATGACAACAAATCACATCTTTCTCTTCCTCAGGCCTCTGAAATGTAACAGGGTTGCAGCCAGGCTGCCTTGTGGGGCAGGAAAGCTCTCAAGCTCAGCTCAGCAATACCCACTGCTCCCTGTGCCAGGTGAGCCTTCAGCCTGGCTCTGGAGTGAGTTTTTCCTCACATCTATCATGGCTGGGTGATAAGGCACTGGGCTGACATTGAGGTGGCTCTAGAGTAGGTTTTTCCTCACTGGGCTCATGTTAAGCCTGGTTCTAGAGTAGGTTTTCCTCACATCATGGCTGGGTCATAAGGCACTGGGCTGATGTTAAGCCTGGCTCTAGAGCGGGTTTTTCTTCACGTGTATTGTGGCTGGGTGATGAGGCACTGGGCTGACGTTGAGGCTATCTCTAGAGTGGGTTTTTCCTCACATCTGTCATGGCTGGGTGATGAGGCATTGGGCTGATGTCGAGGCTGGCTCTAGAGCAGGTTTTTCCTCACTGGGCTCACGTTAAGCCTGGCTCTAGAGTGGGTTTTTCCTCATGTCTATCATGGCTGGGTGATGAGGCACTGGGCTGATGTTAAGCCTGGTTCTAGAGTGGAGTTTTCCTCACTGGGCTGACATTGAGGCTGGCTCTAAAGTGGGTTTTTCCTCACATCTATCATGGCTGGGTGATGAGGCAACTGAGCTCACATTGAGGCTGGCTCTAGAGTGGGTTTTTCCTCACGTCTATCATGGCTGGGTGGTGAGGCACTGGGCTCACGTTGAGGCTAGCTCTGCGCAGCTCCCGGCGGGCTTTGGGAGCAGCAGCAGCAGCCAGGCTCCGCGGGGGCAGTAGCTCGTGGGGCTGCCCTGCTCTTAGCAGCGAGTGCTCTGGGTCCCTCTGCCGGGGCTCGCCAGGGCTGTCGCTGGTCAGCGAGGATCGCCTCCACGTCGAGGGCAAAGGGGCGTGCACCAGGTCCCTGCTCTCATCTCTGGCCCGAGGGCTCTCTTCAGCAGCAGCTGGAGGCAAGGGCTGCTCCCTGAGGCTGAATTCCTCACAGGTGCCAAGCTCAGGGGCAGCTCTGTCCCCAGCCCCATGAATGCTTCTCTCCATCCCTGCTGGGAAAAAATGAGGATACAGTGAGGAGATTATCAGGACTTTCATCATCAAAATTGGTGCCTGTATAACAGTTGCTGAAGGACCTACACGTGCACTGCTCTGAACTACTCCAAGCTCTCACTACCAGGTGTGGGAATTGAACCTCCCTTTTAACTTGGCAGGAACAGCAAATCCCTAGCCCGGCTTTCCTCTCACCTTTGGTCTGTCCAGCATGGAGGTTCATGTTACTCAGTCTCTGGTTCAGCTCCTGGTTTGCCCACATGTACCGGCTCAGCTCCTTTTCCAGCACCTGAATCCTCGCCTCATACTGCAGCTTGCTGCTGGCCAGCCCCTCGTCCATGTGCTCTGCAAGCAAGAACAAGGCTGTTTCAGCCTGGGAGCCCGGAGAAAGACAAAAGCAGTGGCACTGCTGCCCATGAGGAGAGCTGGGGGTTACCACGGCTCTGCTGCAGCAGTAGCTGCATGTTCTGCTCATGCTCCTTCTGCTGCAGGGTGAGCTGGCGGTCCATCTCCAGCCGCTGCCGCTCGACGGCCGCCTCCAGCCAGTACACCAGCTGCTGCTGCTCCTCCAGCTGCATCTCCAGCTCTGAGAAGGCAATGTGCTGCCTGTGCTGGTCCTCTCGCAGTGTCACCACCTGACCAGGGCCCAAGAGCAAGAAACTCTTCAGCTCCTTCATGCCTGGGAGGATTTCCTGCCCCAGCTCCAGTCAGGTTAGTTTTTTGGTACAGCCTACAAAGGTTAGTAGTGCTGGGATGTCAGAGCTGCCTTGTGGAGGGAAGAGCAAGGTGTGGCTGCACTGATGCAGCAGAGCCACTGCAAGGATCCATGCATCCTATGACTACTTGGCCCATCTCCCAGCTAGGGGTCATGGTGCTGTGGCTTTGTGGCCTGACTTTTCAGGAATATGATGCAAAGAGAAAGCTTGAAACTGAGGAAAACAGGAGTGTGGTCAGGTCATAATTTCTGTTAAAAAGTGCATTCAAGCTGTGTGATGTTCATGATGTGTTCTGGCTGGCTGCAATCACTAACAGCCAAGTAAGTGAAATACAGCTGCCACCAGCACGGAGGGCAGTTGTCTCCCACCTTGTCAAAGTACTTGCAGAGCAGAGCTCGTGTCTCAGAGGAGGAGAGGTAGCTGAGCTTGGCCATGAGGTTCATCTCACACTGTGACAGCAGGCTGGCTGAGGCCCGCAGGACTCGCTGCCTGCATGTGATGGACTCATTCTTGTACTCAATGGCTGCATCCAGAGCCTCGATTGCCTCATCCAGCTGGAACAAGATCCGTTCTTCCTGCCAGGGCAGAGCTGTAGTTACCAGGGAGCAAAGAGCTTGCTCTGTCTCATCCTGCCCTAGCCTTGCTTGTCATGTCCGTGCTGGTGAGAAGCTGGGACATGCAGTTTGGGATGTGGGGGAGCATCTGCCAACGATCTCAGGCTCAATCTTTACTTCTCTCCTACAGCCTCCTGCTCCCAGCCCAGCAGAGGTACCTCTGGGGACAGCAGCGTGCCCTGGCGCAGCTTGTTGTCCAGCTCCAGCCTCTGTTTGAGCAGCTGGTCCTTCTCCTGGCGCAGGCTGTTGATCTCCTGGCGGATCTGCTGCTGGTCCTGGGCGCTGCCGTGGCGCAGCTGCCCGCTCTTCTCGCTCAGCTCCTTCTCCAGGTGCTCCAGGCGGCTGGACACGCGCACTATGTCATCTGTCAGGGCCTGCAGCACAGCATGCTCAAGGGGATCTGCTCCCAAGGCAGATCAGCCCTGTTCTACTCCCTCTCTAGGTCAAGTGACCCCCAGGCAACCAAGGGCTACCAAACCAACAAGCTCAGACTCTTTCAGAGAGACAAGATTTCCTACCTACTTTCCAACACCCCCTCATCCTGCAGTCAGACCCAGGATGGCACCCAGATCTTCCAGCCTCCACCTCTGCTGGAAATCAAGCAAAGGGTTGAGGTGTCCCACTCTTGTCTTACCTGGCTGGAGCGCAGCCTTTTGCTCTCCAGGCCATTCTTCTCCTGCAGCAGGGCTTCCTTTTTGGCCACAATAGCTTCCCGTTTCCTCAGCTCATCTTCCAGCTCATCCAGGGCCTGGCGCTGCTCGAGAACTTTATCCATCTCCATGTCCAGCCACTTCTTCTGTTCCTCAATTTTCTGATGGAGGGAGAAGCAAAAGGTGAGTGTGTGTGTGTGTGTGTGTGCAGACAGCAGCAGCAGTGCCCAGGACTGCTGGACTAAAGAGCAGCAGGGTTGAGATCTGAACAAGCATCCTTATTGCATCTCTGGTAACCTCCAAAACCACACTTTGCTGGTTTTACCCTTCCAGCTCCTCCAAAAGTCAGAGCTAAACTAAATTCCCAGCTGTCAGGGAGTTCTTGGAGGGCACATCTCTAACCACCCTTCTGCTAACAGACAAAACTTCAAAACTTCTTTACCAGCACTAGGATTTAGATGAGATCCTTTTTCTGGGGTAAGAAAAGATCTGAAGTCCTCTGCTACTAGATACCAATGACATTATGGACTGTCCTTCTCAAGCATGAGATGGGCTCAGGTCTGTTTTCAGATGTCTCCCATCAGCCTGCAGTCTGCCAAGCATCCCCCCTGAGCAGGGAAGCAGAGGCAGGTTTGCTGTCTGTACCTGCTGCTGCTCCAGGCTGATCACAGAACCGTTGCTGCCACTCCGCCGCTTCCTCTGGAAAGCTGCGATTTCCTCTGTTTTGATGCGCAGGATTTTCTGGTGCTGCTCGTGCTTCAGCTCCAGTTCCTGCATGTGAAAGAGCAGCATGGAGGGAGTGGGATGTGTTTGCCCAGGGGCTGAGGGACAGGTTATGTTCTCCTCTAGCTCTTTGGATAGAGCTGTCTCCATGCTCTCCAAGACAACCACAGACCACATCAGAGCCCAGCCAGAGTCATCCTCACAAACCCCACAGCAGCACAGCTGATGTGCCCTGTCCTACCTTGACTCGGTGCTGTCCCTTGTTCACCTCCGTCTCCAGGCGCCGTTTCTGCTCGCTCTCCTCGCGCAGCCGCCGCTGCAGCTGCCCCTGCTGCCGCCGCATCAGCTGGATGTTCCTCTCCAGCTCCTGCACGCGCTTCTCACTCTGCGCCGACAGCGACACCAGCCTCTCCGTCGCCTGCTTCTTCTTGCACAGAACCTGCCAGGGGGTGAAACCCACCCTTGGCACCTCCTCTCTTTGCAGAGATGCCCCCAGCTCTGCGCTGCTCAGCCCTTCCCCTCACCTGTGCCTTGCTCCGCACGGCCGCCAGGCGTGTGCGGTACTCCTGCAGCTTGCACTTCTCCCCGGGGTCCCAGGGCTCTTTGGCCTCCAGCTCCTGGAGCTGCTTCTGGCTGTCGCTCAGCTCTGCCCGCACCTGCTCTGCTTCCTGCTCCAGCTCACTGATCTTCTGGCTGTACTGCTTGTTCAGAGCCTGGGCATCCTTGCCTGCAACACAGCCCGCTCTCTCACAGCCAGGATCCCGACCCTTCCGCCCTCTCCCCAAGTATTTTTGGCTACAGAGACTGAATGTTCCCTTTCCCTCAGGCAATGCAGGGAAGGAACAAACCAGTGGGAAGGGTTTCTGTCAGCTGGAGGGATGGAGAAACAAAGCCCTGCTGCTTTTAGGAGAAGAGACTGAGCACAAGCAAAACACGCAGAGAAGATGAGGATGGAAGGAGAGACAAAGCACCACAACTAGGAGGAGGTTTCAAGGGAAATGGGTGCATATTCCTGCCAGCAGCTCTGCACCTGTCTTAATGAGCTCCGTGATCAGCTCCTCCTTCATGCGGATGTTGATTGCCAGCTCTCGGATCTTCTGCTGTGCCTGCACCAGCCTCCACTCAGAGCCCTTCCCTGGCAGGCGCTCCCGGCAGCCCAGCAGGGACTCCCGCTTCCCACAGACCTCTGCAACACAGATCCCCACGTCAGGAAAGTCCTATCCTAGCAGATGGGCGACAGAAGGACAATCTGATCTTGGATCTGTAGTCAGAGTCTGGCACAGCATTGCCCAGAGTCACCTGAAGCTTCTACCATAACATACACCCTTGCCAGACCCTAAGAGTTCAAGTTAACAAAAGCAGCTGGGTTCCATTTTTGTTCCATTTTTGTCCTCGGGGCACATCCAGATGGGACACCAAGATCTCCCAGTGAACCACCACCAGTCCATGGAAGATTGTCCAACAACCTATGGTTGCTACTTGCCTTTTGACAGCTCCAGCTGCTCCTCCTGAATTGAGTGGGCATTGCCTCCACTTGGCTCCTCGCCCAACTTGAAAATCTCTTTCTTGCTCAAATTTTGGATCCCATTTCTAGAAGAAGCAGCAAATTAATCAGTTTGGTCTGGCCACTCCTAAAGCTGTTCCCAGTAAGGACCCTCATGATCCACAGCCTTCAGAAGGAGATGGGAACAATAGCTGTGGTCAGGAATGATGGTAATGAACTCCCCAGGGAGCAGTAAGGTGTACCAGCAGCATCACTGACCCCACAGGCAGCATTTGCCCTGCATCAGACATGAGAGCTGAGCTGCAGAGGCGGGACAGCCAGGTCACAGCCAGGGACAGGGACACAGCACAGGGACAGCTGGCTGAGACAGCCCCAACTCACCGGCACTGGGACAGGGACCGTTTCTGTTCCCATTCCTCCATCTCTCCTGAGGACAGCTCTGATGGCTTCTCTGAGTCCTGGCTGAGCTCCCTCCTCAGCACCACCTCTCTGACCTCAGGATCACCAGCTGGGTGCTGTGTGTGGTTCAGGTGCCAGCCTGCCAGTTCCTCTTTCTGCAAGCAGGAGCTGCTGCTGAGCTTCTGGGCACAGAATTGGAAAGAGAGGAAACAAGCTGTGTGAGAGCCAGTGTTAGAAAAAGTGGCTCCCGGCTGAGCATCACTGCTAGACATAAAAGCAACAAAATGGATTGAGTGTATTTTCAGGAGAACCAGTGTGTTGCCAGACTCAGATGCCTGTGCTTCTGCTGCTCAAACACTGAACAATTCTGGGACTCACCCACAACATGAAAGCAAAAGCCTCAGTTTTGAAGCTGGGCTGTTTTTGCCAGAGTTGTAAAGCTCTAGATTTGAAAACTGAGCACAGTCCTCTGGACTACGCCTCTGGTAAGGATCACACTGAACAGCAGGGCAAAAGCTCTCCTACAGTGGAGAGCAGCCAAGGGAAGAGGCAGCAGCTCTTCAGTGGCACAGCCTTATGCCCTCACCTTCTTGCAAAGAGCTCTTCCACTCTGCTCAGGAAGCAGCCCTGAGGGAACCCCACCAAAGCCATGGGATGGGGCAGCATCCAGTGGGGCTGTGTGAGGTCTCTGGCTGGCAGTGACCAGGTGAAGATTTTCCAGCAGTCCTGGCACACACAGGTTTGGCATTGCCATCTCCAAGCGCACGTGCAGCTCTGAGATCTTATCCTGCTGCTCCTGCAGTTTGTCACTCTAGGAAACAATCAGAAAAATGTGGTTACATTCATGTTGATCTGAGATCCACTGCAGAGGAACCTGAAAGCTGGGCTGAGCACCCCTGTGCAGCAAGGAGAGGAGTGGGGCAGGTCCCTACAAAGAGAGCAGAGCCCAGAAATACCTGCAGCTTATACTGTTCCATAGCATCCTCCAGGGCAGCCAGGAAATCACGGTTCTCCTCCTCCAGGCGTTCCACTTGCCTCTGCAGCTTTGCCACCTGCTCATCTTTGATGGATTCGCACTTCTTCTCAGGGCTCACCTGCTCCCCAGAATAAAAGAGAGGCAGAATCAGTATTTGTCCTTCTCTTCCTATCTCTGCAAGGACACAACAGCTCTGCAGATTCTTCCTATGCAATAAATCTCTCAGCTGCAGCTGAGAATCCTAGTCCTAGTTTTTCCCTGCCTGCTGTGAAGAACATGTCCTTCTGTCTCCCTAGGGCCTCCTGGACAGGTTACCTCTCCTCCCCTCCCTCTCCTGACCCTTCCATCATGCTGTGCTGGGGCCATGAGATGAACCCCACCTCAGAGAGCTGTAACACCCCACTATTACCTGTCCTTTTGCCACTTTTGACCCCTGTGCCTCCTGTCCCTGCTCCTCCATGGAGGTGCTCTCAATGCCGCTGTCCAGCCCGGCCGAGGTGAGCTCGCTCCTCTGGCTCTCCACGGTGCACAGCCACTCCTTGATGCGCAGGAGCTGCTCCAGGCTGAGGCTGCTGTCCTCCTGCAGCTCGGAGAGCAGGCGGTGCGCGGCGTCGGTGCACGTGCGGTAATGGG